GCATACTGGGGATATATACCCAGTCTTAGGAAATATGCAACAAGGTGAGCAGACTCACTGCCTGCTAGAAACTTCCCAGCCCAAGACTCCTCAGAATGTATTTATAGCTGCTCTGACACTAAGGCGCCAACATTTGATCTGTTCTTTCCAAAATGGGTTTTAAAAAATTCAAAAGGAAAAAGGCAAGAGCCCTGTAAACAACAGCTCCTGCAACTGACTGAAGCACTGCAGCCACAGAGATCATCAGAGTTGGTCCAAAGGGCGAAAAGACTTTCAGTATGGAGAGAGAATGGGGTGAGGGCTACAGAAAGGAGCAGCCACTCCTCCAGTTTCTTGGCTCTCATGGCCTGAAGAGGAAAAGCCACACCTGACCCACCTGTTTGATAGGAAGACGACTGGATGAGCACGTTTCCACGGTGGTTCTTGAATATTTATCTTGCACCAGCCTCTGGAAGGTGTGCGATCTACAGAAAGAGTGTGGCACCACGTCCTAATTTTCTGAGGCCCCCAGGTACTTTTCAACCTCTTTCTGGGAGCCGATCTATCTATAGGGCACCAGCCTGTGGGAGGTAGAGGTTTTTATCAAAGAAAGACCCAGAGTCTTAATTAATGATTGATAACACCTAGATTGGAGCCACCAGAGAATTACAGTGCCACAGTCTCTCATCCCAGATTCAGACATCCAAAAAGCTCTGAAAATGTAAGGTTCATTTTTGCAACTCATTTGGCAAACAAAACCTGACCTGGATTCATGGGAGGTGTCAAAGGGTACTGCCTCAAGTCCCTAAGGGGTTATGAAGTGCTAAGTGTAGGCACCAGGCTGTCTTTCCAGAATCTGAAAAGTTGTCAATTCTAGAGTTCAAAATTGTGAATTCCAGATATGAGTGATTTGGCAATGAACTCTAGACCCACATTCAGTGTCTTTACGTGTTCTTTTTATATTTTTTTTCCTGTGGATTAATGCATTTCTTACACAGTATAGTATCAACTAATCCATACTATCTTCATAAACAAGAATACAAGCATAGAAAATGTCCCAGACCATGTGTGTTAATTTGCAAGGTAAGTCACCAAGGTTTGCTAGAGTCCAATTGTACAGGCTAAGCTTCTGACACCAAGAAACTACTGGCACTGGGAGGGAGCTATCAGAATTATAGGCAGAGTACCTACCTGTATCCTACCTGTATCCTAAAGTATCAAGGACAGTCTTCCACAAAAGTCACCAGAGAAGCTTCAGAACAACTGACCTGGGCCTCTTCTTACCTTTCCACCGAGAGACTGGCATAATTGGCCATAGGTACAGCCTGGATTTTAGTTGTCAGAGTTTCCCCAGGTGCTTCCAATGTGGATCCAAGACTGAGAACTACTGGGCAGGAAGTACAAATTCACCTTTCAAGTGTGAGTCTTAAAACTGATCCATGTTACGGACATCCAGCATCCTTACCTCTGTCAATCACCACATTAAAATTGTTAATTTATCAGTGTGACACATTAACATTTTAACTTAAATCCTGATGAACTTTAGAAATTCAGCATTTGTATCTGCATAAGCTCTACTTCTTAACAATTTTGTCAGCTATTAATTTTTGTGTACAGGATGAGGGGAGAGAGAAGGAGAAGAGAATTATTCTTAGAGGAATAATAACTTGACGCAATTAAGTTTCTAATTTTAATTCCTTGTGACTCCTGCACTAACACAAAAAGGGGAAAAAAAGAAAACTAAAATAAGTGACACTAATAAAAAAACTGTCTAAACTTGAAATGAGGACACATCCAGGAGGACTTCTCTGTTGATAGAATTGTTTTATTCCGAACATTATGAAAGAACAGGCGCCTGAATAATCATTTCTTCTGGGTGAGGATAAAAATCTCACAGGCATTTGTCTAGAAAAGACATGAAGAGTTGCTCACATCCAAAGATAGAGCCTCTCAGTCACAAAATAGCTTTGCTTTTTTTTAGGAATCTGCTTATCAAGCATTTTCTGTCCTTCATGCCAATTAATTTGGTTTGAATTTAAAACTTTTTTGGTGGAATGTAAATGACAATTTACCCATATGCAAATGAAAAACTACCACTTCTAAGTTGTGTTCTGTTATATATAGTCCCCATGTGTTTATATCAATTTAGGATCTTCTGATTGAGGGTCTTAAAAATCTAACATAGATCAGGAATAATGTCTGTGCCAGACTACACTGTTTAAATGGAAGATTTTAGCTCAGACTATTGTCACAAAATCTGACTTCTAAATTTTATGTGTTTTTGAATTTTGGGTAAACATAACACAAATACACGTGTGTACACGTGTTCACACACAATGAGCCAGGAAGTAATTTAAAATAAGAATGAAATAGAAAAGCAGTAGCCACTTCTTATCAAACCCAAAAAGAAGGAAACATATAACTTCCCACATTATGAAAGATGCAAAAAGCAAGAAGGGAGAATTATTTAGGGATTATAATGAAGATCTACAGCAAGGAAAAATTAACCCTGTATAGCAGAGATGATTTATCGTTACAAACTATTTATCTGCTCTTCCTCACAAAGAAGGTTCTGATTTTATTTGAGTTACTATGAATTCATCCAAAATACAGTATTTCTGAAACTCCCTTCAGCTAGATTTTGGCATGTTGTTGAGTTCCAGTCAATGGCATAAGAACAGATTATTGAGTGGGAAATAGGTGCAGGAGGTGAGATTTGGGGGCATGGCAGAGGGGAGGCTGCTTTAAAAAGCTGAACCTGCTTAGAAGCAGGTCTTTTCATACCTGCCTCCCTCTAGTACAAAGAGTTACATATTTGGACCATGGTGGAAGAATGGGATCATTCTTCTGATTTTGAGCTCCAACATCAAATTTCACTACAGGTTTATTTAAACTGCACTAAAGACAAATAACATAAAGGTTATAAATAGTTGTTATTGTTGTTGTTTTAATCTGGACTTTTAAAAGGTTTCATTCAAATTAAAATGGGACCATTAAGGTATGAGTGAAAAAAGTTAAGAGCTGAGTCCAACAATGTCGTGTATTGCCATACTACCCTGTACTGGTTATTATTTTACATAAGAATACACTCCTGGCCCTCCCTGGTGGTGCAGCAGGTTAAAGCTCAACACTGCAAGGAAACCGCAGTCACTGCAGTGCCAGTTCGATATCCCCCACCCCAGGTGACCCACATGGTGAGGCAGACCTCTCCTGCCTCATCCGTGGCTCCCCCTCAGCAGTGTACTTCATTGATCTGTCTGTTCTGCTCCCCGCTCTGTCTCTGGTGAATACTCTCACTGCCCCTGCACCTTTGGCCTGTACCCCAGTGTTATGTGAATAAATAAATAAATCTTTTAAAATGTATATTTAAAAAAATACACTCCTATGTGTTTGTTATTGTTTGGTTATTATAGTTTTTTCAGAAACCCAACTGACTGAGATGGGCAAAAGTGAAAAATCAATCATCACAGGATCTATGAACTCAAGTTCCTTGCTACTCAAAGTTGGATACCTGGAAGTACAGCGCGAGCATCACCTGGGGGCTCATTGAAAATGCAGAATCTCAGGTCCCACCTTGGACCTGCTGAAACAGAATCTAAATTTTAACAAGGTCCCTAAGTGATTTGTATGCTTATTTTGAGAAGTTTGAAAAGCACTGATTTAGAATAAATGTCCTTTAAGAAACGAGACTAAACAGCATAGACTTGAATGACCTCCTGAACAGTGTTCCTATTACCCAGTTTTATCACTGGAAATATGACAATGAGAAATCTGACCTGATTTTGAGATCCAACATCAAATTTCACTATAGGTTCAAACTGAACTTAAGAAAAATAACAAAGTTTATAAATAGTAAAAAAAAAAACAAAAACCCTGGGCTTTTAAAAGGTTTCATTCAAGTTAAAATAAGGTGCTTTACACAAAATGATCAAGATTCCAAAATCCAGAAACAATAACCCTTTGGCCATTCATTGCACCAAAGCTTTTTAATCCTCATTTCAAAGATACTAAGTGGTAAGTGTCTGATAAGTTCTGTGATGTTCTAACTGCCCAACAGAATATTCATGTACCAAGTAACATGTAAGAGTGAAAATTACATTTTTAACATATACTATGAGTCTGAACAATTTCTCCTTACATCCCCAAAAGGACTCTCTAATTAATAAATGCAATTTCTTAAATGAATAAGAGGTTTTGAATTTATTAATTTCTATAGCAGTTCTTCAAGATATAATTTATATACAATAAAATGTCCAGATCTTAGTTAAATATAATGGGTTTAGTAATTGTAGTTACCCATGTAACCTACTACCCCAATCAAACCATGGTGTTGATTCCCATTACCCCCAGAAAGCTCTGTGGTCATTCCCTTCTCCATCTGCCACTCAGAGGCAATCACCTCTGCAATGGATTTTTTTATTCTTATGTGGCCAGAAATGGAACCCAAAATGATCTGACAGTTTAACACTGATAAAATAGCATGAAGAATCATAAAACTCCATGTTGCCTATAAGTACTCTATATGCTTTAGTCTTCTATCAAAAATTTGTCTAATGTGTGACAGAAAAACATTGTTTCAGTCAACAATGTGGATGTTGATAAAATTTCCTGAAATATTGGCAATGGTGTATGGATCCTGAATCCATTTTCTAAAGTAGGTTTAAATAGATTTTAAATAGGTTTTCTTCACATAGGAAATACTAATTGCAAATGCTGCTTCCTGCCTTTGCAGTTGAATACATAAAGTTTACTTTTATAAAACAAATCTTTTATGAGCCTCCTTGTTGTCACAAGGCATTAAGTCTTAGTACTAGGTTTGATCCCCTGCAGGGGAGCTAACCCACATGGTGCAGCAGAACTCTCAAATCTCACTCTCTCTGCTGCCCTCAGCAGTGTATTGCAGTGATCCACTTGTTCTGCTCCCCACTCTGTCACCTCCTTGTGTCTCTGGCCTTCACCGTAGCTCTTGTATGTATAAATAAATAAATAAATCTTTAAAAAAATCTTTTAATTATGCCACATTAATGGGTGTATTGATGTTAAAAAGTCAGAAAACTAAATATTGTTTCTTTTATGCTAATCACCAGATTAAAATTGGTGCACAGAGAAAGGCCTCTGAGGACTCTCCTTTCTTAGAATGACTTTTCTGCATTGATTTGTCAATAATTTGCTTGTTTTTAATTTAGGAACTAGGCCATAATATATGTGAGACTTACAAGACTACACAACATGCTTGCAAGACTATGAGAAAGGCACTTTTAAATTTTGGGATAGTGCAAATACAAGCTGTCACTAAACCCCTTCTGAGGTATTTCAAAGCAAGACATATGGACCCCACACAGTGCAGTTCTTGGTTACTGGTAACCAACGTATCTTACAGAGTCATTTTGTCTCTAATTACAATCAATGGTGTGCAGGTTTCCAAGAGTCAGAGTTCTGTTTTGGGGGCTGTGGCTGCATATTTGGGAGCTAGTTCTTTGATCAGATTCACGTAGTCTGTCTTTTCTGCACAGGCTCTGCACTCTTCTCCCCAGCTGTATAGTATCTGTTTCAACTTTGCTACTCTCATCTTCGACAGGTCCATTGATGCCAAATCCAACTTCTTTTCTAAAGGACAAAAAGGAAAAGGAAAGGCACAATTTCTGATAAACTAAAAACTAAGAAACACTTTTTAAAAATAGAATTATTAAGGCTCTCCCTGGTGGCACAACGGGTTAAAGCACTGCATTATGAAGCTTTGCCAAGTCACTGCAGCACAAGTTGGATCCCCTGTCAGGGAGCTGACCCACATGGCGTAGCAGACCTCCTCTGAACTGTCCGCTGCTCCCCTCAGCAGCGTATTACAATACATCTGCCTATTCTGCTCCCCACTCTCTCTGGTGAATCCTCTCACCCATCATAACTCTGGCCCGTACCCCAGTTCTGTAAGCATAAATAAATTAATCTTAAAAGAAAAAAAACCACAATGAGTTATCACCTCACACTTTCTAGAATGGCTATCATCAAACATGCAAGCATTAACAATTATTGGAGATGAAATAGACAAGGGAATCCTTGTACACTGTAGATGGGAAAGTAAATTGGTAGAGTTACTATGAAGAATAGTATATGTTTCTCCCAAAATTAAAAATCAAAATACACTACAATTAATCCAGCAATGTGACTTAGGTGTAAATCCAAAAGAAATAGAAAACGGGATAGCCAAAGGGAATCTGCATTCCCATGTTCACTGCAGCGTTATTCACACTAGCCAAGATATGGAAATAAGCTGAGTATCTATCAACAGATGAACAAATAAAGAAAATGTTACACACACACACAAATATGTGTATACATACACATGAAACAAATTAAACTGAATGTATTCACATAACATACATATTTATATGAAAATGAAAGAACGTCCTACCATTTTCAACAATATGGTTGTAACTTGAGAGCACTTAGCATACAGTAAATGACATAAGTCAGCCAGAGAAAGACAAATACTGTATGATATCACTAGGTAGAACGTGAAAAAGTCAAACTCAAAGAATCAGAGAGTAGAATGGTGGTTACCAGCAGCTGGGGAGTAGGAGAAATGGGAGATGATGGTCAAAGGGGCAAACTTCTTTTTTGTATAATGAATTGTATAATTAAAACGTTCTGGGGTTCTCATGTAAACAATAATAATAATGCCTTATATACTTGTAAGTTACTAAGTGAATAACTTCTCATCCCCAAAAAAGTTCTCAGCACAAAGAAGTGCTAGCTGTATAACCTAATGTAGGTGTTAACTAATGCAAAGGTGGTGTCATTTTATAAATGAAGTATATCAAACTTTACGTTAATTTACATGATGGTATATGTCAATTATAGCTCCTTGAATCTGGGGAAAAAATAGAAGTTGAATTTTAAAGTTTTTTTTGCTTGATTTTTCACCAAAACCCTGTCTCCAGACAATCTTAAAATCTCTATAGTGATTCCCATCTTTTTTAGAAAGCAGTAAGCAAAAACTTTCTTTCCTAGTATAAACATAATCCAACTCCACGCATAAATTGTTTGCTAGTTTCATGGTTGACTTGACAGAATCCCCTAAAAGTAGAATCCTTTCTAGCTCAAATTATTAATATCCCACAGCTCAACGATCTCTATTCAATCTCATCTTCCCTTTTCACAAGACACTGGGAAGAAGGATTTTAATCTATTGGTCTATTCAGGATCAATTGTTGAAGGGAAACCATACGTTCTTGAAATGTCAGTAGCTTCTTTGTGTTTTTATAGAGGGCCTGGGATCTGGCATTAATTTTAAAATGGGGAAAAACTCTGTGACAACTTAAAACTACAAGAAAAGGTCAAGACAATATTAAACCTAGTGTGCGGTTCCCCAAGGGCCTCTAGTGGCCGGCGTTGAAAACATTAGAGTTTGTTTCTTCTCAATTATATCTTATTCATTTGTCTATTTTTTTCAACGAAACGAATAAGACCCTGACACGGAGATTTTATTCCCCCAAAAAATGTGTTGAGTGAAAAAAATCAGCTCAGGTTTTTCCCTTTTGTGAACATTGTTTATATGGACTTGGTGTTTCCTGCCTCTACTTCGTTATTTGGAAGCCAATAAAAAGGATGCCTACCCCATAATCATCACCCTAGAAATAAGGGCTTGCCCTTGCCAAACTCAGAAACAGTTTGCCTTTGGTGTCTCTAATCCTAAACCTATTTAACATAGCTATGTAGCTACGGTGGAGGCATATTACACAACTTTGTTGGAAAATAAAACTAAAATAATCAGAGTCAGGTCCTAATTACTTAGGTAGTTTATAATACCACACTGGCTGTATAACATAAAAACGATGACTTACACAAAAGAAATGGATCTCCTCTGTTGGAATTATTAGGTGAGGTAGGAATTTCCCTGCTTTTTATCATATATACTCAATCCACCTAAAAGACTGGCCTAGATACAAACCCTCAATATAAGACTAGATCTAGGAGAAATTTATAAGGCCAAGGATAATATCTTAAATAGGACATCTTCCTTTCCTCGATGTTTATTTTAGGCACCCACAAAAAGGTTATTTCATCCAGCAAAATCTGATTTGATGTGAATAACCTATTTCCTAAAATTTAAAGCTGGCAGAATGTTAACCAAATTTAGGGGAAAAGATGTAGTCACAATTAAAACTTAAATCTTTACATCACTTTTGAATAGATGAACTTTTGTCTTAATAGGTTACCAAGAATTAAGTCTCTTTATGTTTTGAATGTTTTCCTATGTAATCAATAGTGCTTTTGTGTTTAAGGGTTTAAACTTTGCTCTGGGCCCTCCCTGGTGGCCCAACAAGTTAAAGCGCAGCACTACAAATGAGACACAGCCACTTCAGTGCAAGTTCGACCCCGGCTCCGGAGGTGATCCATATGTCATGGCAGACCACTCCTGACCCGCCCACTGTTTGTTCGCCTCGGCAGTGTACTTAGTCAATCTGCCTGTTCTGCTCCCTTCTCTGTCTCTGGTGAGACCTCTCAACACTCTTATACTTCTGACATGTACCCCAGTTCTGTATGCATAAATAAATAAACTTTAAAAAATAAATAAATAAACTTTGCTCTTTGGATTACCATTCTTACTTATGTTGATTGTGCTGCATGTCAGTCAGCAGCCAACAACTATCTATTGATAAGTGAATAATTGTCTCTCCTTCAGACACTGATTTTTTTAAAACATGGCCCTATTTAGAGATTTGGCAATACTTTGGTTATATTTGGCAGTACTTTTGACTCCTGTATACCATATTTTAGTTCACAGATTTGGCTGTCCATCTTCTTTAGCTTCTCACAAATCTTCACTACAGGCATATGCACACTCATTGGGCGAGTGACCTCACTTAGGATCTTGGTGGCTGCATCCTTCGTTGCTCCAAGATAATAGCACTGGAAGAGAAGGGAGAGAACTAAGTGTCCCAACCATTAAAAACACAGGCAGTAATAGAATTTCAAAAAGTGAGAAAGAGGTAACCTAGTTTTCATGGCCCAGCTTTTAAATTTCAACCCCTACTAAGACATCAAAAACAAATGACTTCATTCCCATGATCCAGTCTAATTAGAAATGCCTTTCAATTCACATGATGCTCAAAGACCAATGATGAGAGCTAACACTTGCTAATTGTTTTCTCTGTGGCAGGTACTGCTCTCAGAACTTAAAGACATTGATTTACTTAGTTCTCATCACAATCCTGTGAAGTAAATACTGTTATTATCCCCCTTTATACTCAAGCCAACTGTGGGTCAGCCAGTTAGCAAATAAAATAGACTTGTTTAAAAATCTGGGTACACTAAAGTGGTAATACTTGATGGGGGTATCCCAATAATGCCTCAATTAAAAATAAACGAAATAAATTTAAAAGTAAAATATTTAACATTTTGGTTCTAGAATCCATTTTCTTTTCCATTATGCTACACTGCCTTCCCAGCTACCTGACTTAAAACAGTTTACATTTAAGAGCATAATAATGGAACAAATGAGCATTTCTTAATGAAAACATTGTAACTGCATTAGCAACATAAAACTTTGTGAAAGTGTTATGTTCAGCGTAAACACTGTGGTGAGCAGTCAACCATGCAAATATATCATGACAATCTTAGGCAAAATTAATTAGCTTAAGATTGTCTTTCAAGATGCAAAACAGTATATAGAAAAAGTCATCTGTGTCTACACAGGAAAAGCCCTATAAATACCATGATGAGAAAATATTTGTGCTTCATTAGTTACATGTAAATAATAATATAAAATGTTTTGATAGGTTTCACTAAATTGTCTTTGTAAGAACTGAAAAAAAAACCTACCCACTATGAATTCAAGACAGCAAATTCTCATTAAGAATTCAATTATGTAATTCATTTAAGAAAACATGGAATTGGTTGTTTGTGATTTATTTAGAAAGCAAAATAAAATCAACTATTCCCTACATGAAAATACATATGACTACATTTAGCTGAGAGATCAGTTTCTGCTTGCTCTCTGGAACAAACGTGCTTGAGGCAAGAGTTTAACTGGAAAACATTAAGTTGATGATAAGAAATTAAATTATTAGCAGTTTTCTTCAAGTGCAGGAGAAAACGGAAGGTGAAATTTTACCATACCAGGCGGTTTTCTTTTCCTTTGACGTCCAAGCAAAAGTCCATCAATTCTTTTTCTATGGTGTCTAGAGAAAAGTGGACTCCTCTGGCTATCAAAGAGTTGTAGAATCGGCTCAGGAATTCTTTACATACTAGAAGATGCAAAGAAGTTGTATAATTTTATACAAAAATATAACCACTACCACACCTATGTCTACTCACCAAATGAAAAATAGAATTCAGCATATTGCAACAATAGATTCAAATTATAAAAATGATTAAAAACCTGTTGTTATTAGTTTAGTGTTATGAGTTTATTGAATTTATTGATTGATTCAATAAATTGAATGAATGAGTTATTGAATCAAATATGACTTTGTTGAATCAATTAATCTTTAGAACTAATTTCCTCCTAAAATAAGATTTTCCCCACAAAATTTGACTAACCCTAAAAATATATGTAGTTTTCTATAGTATATGATACTTTGGATAACTTAGTCTAAAGCATTGGGATACCCTCAGGATGTATCTTGAATGAAGACGCTTTGTGAGCTGTGTCCCACCATCATGAGACTGAAGTGAAACCCCAATTTGAACAATCATGTTTAATCCCAGTGCCCAGAACCAGTGAAGAACCTGAGCTCAGGGGAAACACACATGAGAAACAACCATAGCCAACACATTATGGTTTTAAAATCAGTACAGTTATCAAGCACTTTATGTATATTAATTCATGCAAATGTTATAGCAATGATGTCTATAGCCTACATCTATGATGTAGATGCATTACTATTCTCATTTTGCAGATGAAGAAACTGAGTCATAGAGCAGTCAACTTGCCCAGTATGTGGAAGGGATGGAATTAGATCCCAAGTGAGCTGGCTCTGGACCATATACATATCCATCAGGCTTCTCTGCCATAGAAGCAGACTGCTTTCCCATTTAGGGTAAGTGTCTGACCCAAGCAAGCTGAAAGGGAAATGAAGTCAAAACTTATGCTGAAAAACAATGGTAGTGATATCAGAAAGAGAATTCTAGAAGTAAAGTAAAGATGAAAGGAGAGTACTTAGTCCTTTGTTCTCACCATCCTCCTTTTGATTCATACTATTAAATCAGGCAATATGTCCCATGGACCATAACCAGGTATGTTAGCTTTCTGTCTGAAAAAGGAGGCAAGATCTATAAGTAAAACTCTAATACACAAAGGAGACAAAGTCGTTCAACCTATACTCATTTGGTTAAATTAATTCTTCACTTAATAAATGTTTATTGATCACTTTCTTTGCATAGAGTACTATATAGAATTACAAAAGGATAAAATTCAGGAGACAAAATCCAGAAGGAGAATCAGGTTGTAATAAGTAATGACAAGAAAACAAAATGGCAAATGGGAGGCAAATCTAAACAGAGATCACTTACATGTCAACAATAACAGCAAGTCTGCATGAATATAAACAGAAGGTAAACCTAAATTCAGCACAGTCTTAATATATAAGATGAGAACCAAAGAATTTCAATTAAACCGCATTAAGATCCTTTATCATCTGGGAATGATGTTATATTACCTTGCTGTTGAGTTATGTGAGTTCTTTGTAAAGCTTAGATATTAGCCCCTTGTTGGAAGATGAGCAAAACTGTTTTTTCCCTTTCAGAGTACTGCCTTTGTTTTAGTGACAGTTAAGATGACAGTTTAGCAACTTTCAAGGAAATCTGCTTTCCTGGTACAAAAGATTTTTAGCATGATACAGTCCCATTTGTTTATTTTTGCTTTTGTTTCCCTTGACTTTGGAAATAAATCCACAAAGACATTGCTGAAGTCTGTGACATGGAGTGTTTTTTCTGTTTTCCTCTATGCATTTTATGGCTTCAGTTCTTTTGTACAAGTTTTTTATCCATTTTTGAATTAATTTTGTGTATACTATGAGATGGTAGTCTGGTTTCATTCTTTGGCATGTGTCTGTTCAATTTTCACAATGCTATTTGTTGAATAGACTTTCTCCATTGTATATACTTAACTTCTATGTTTTAAATTAACTGTGCATATAAATGTGGGTTAATTTCTGGGCTCTCAATCCATTCCACTGGTTCTATTTTTATTCCAATATCATAGGGTTTTATTACTATTATTTTAGATTCAGTGTATAATTTAAAAGACTAGAAGCACAATATACTCCATTCTTCTTTACTCTTAAAATTACTTTGGCTATGTTGTGTCTTTTGTGGTCCTATATTAATTTCAGTACTGCATTATTTATTTCCTTAAAGACAGCTATTGAAATTCTGAAAGGGGTACTTTGAATCTGTACCTTAGTTTGGGTAAGATAGCCACTGATAGCCATTTTGACATTAATGCTTCCAAACCATAAGCGTGACATATTTTTTCCATTTCCTTTTGCTTGATTTCTTTTTAATGATACATTATAGTTTTTGAGGTATAGCTTTCACCTCTTTTGTTAAACTAAGTACTTTTTAATACAATTGTCAGCATGAACTGCTTGATTTCTTTCTCTTCTAATTTGTTGTTTGCATGGAGGAATAAAACAGACTTTTGTATATTGATTTTGTATGCTGCTACTTTCACTGTAGTGATTTACTGCTGCTAATAGTTTCCTCACAGAGTCGTTAGGATTTTCTTTTTTTCTTTTTTTCAAAGAAGCAGGTTGCTCCTAACTTCTATGACCATAGGAATAACATCCTTTCTCTTTCCTTTTTTTTTAAAGACTTATTTATTTATGCATACAAGAACTGGGGTGCAAGCCAGAGGTCTAGGGGGTGAGAGGATTCACTAGAGACAGAGTGGGGAGCAGAATAAGCAAACTGACTGAAATACTGCTGAGGGAAGAGGGGAGCAACGGACAAGACAGGAGAGGTCTGCCACATCATGTGGGTCACCTCCCTGGCTGGGAATCAAACTTGTGCTGCAGTAGCTGCAGATAGCTTCATGGTGCTGTGCTTTAACCCATTGCACTATTAGGGAGAGCCCTTTAGGATTTTCTAAGTATCTGATCTTGTCATTTGCAAATATGTCATCTTCCTCTTTTCTGACTATCTTTCTCTTGTCTAATTACTCTAGTTAGGATTTATGTTAACTGTTGAGTAAGAAGGGTGAGATTGGGACCTTTGTCTTAAACCTAATCTTAGAGTCAGTTTAAGGAAGTTTTTGGTGCTTTATCATTGAGTATGAGGATAGTTGTTGGTTTGTTGTTTTTACTATGTTGAGGTGTCTTCCTTATATTCCCATTTTGTTGAGCGTTTTAAATCATAAATGGATCTTGTCAAATTCGTTCTCTGTAGCTATTGATATGATCATGTGACTTTTTTCTTTCCTTTTGTAGATCTGATTGATTTGCAGATGTGGAGCCATCCATCCTTGCATCCCTGGAATAAATTTGATCATGGCATTTTAATGTTCTGTTGCATTCAGTTTGTTAAGATTTTGTTTAGAATTTCTGCATCTATGCTCATTAGGGACATGGTGTGTAGTTTTCTTTTCTTGTGATTGCCCAAAAGTGGGGTTGCTGGATCATTTGGTAGTTTTCTTACAGCTTTTAAGAAAAACCCAAAATGGGTTCCTACCAACACTTTATAAAGGCTCCTTTTTCTCCACACCCTAATCAACACTTGTTAATAGTCTTTCAATGTAACCATTCTTACAGGTATGAAGTAATATCTTCTTGTGGGTTTAATTTGCAGTTTTCTAATAAGAAGTGGTGATGAGCATTTTTTAAATTTGTCTTCTTAGTCACCTGTATTTCCCTCTTTAAAAAAGTGTCTCTTCAGTTCATTTGCTCATTTTTTACTGTGTTGTATTGTTGTTAAATTGGATCAGTTACTTATATACCGTGGCTATTGGCTCCTTATCAGATGTGTGATATATAAATATATTTTCCCACTCAGTGGAGTTTTTTTTTTAAATCTGTTGATATTTTCTTTTATAGTACAAGCTCTTTTAAATCTGTTGTTATTTCAATGTTTATTTTTTCTTTCATTTCCCTTGCCATTGGGCTTGAGTCTCTAAAGACATCTCTATGGTTGATGTCATAGACTGTATCACATAAGTTTTCTTCTATGTATTTTATGGTTTCAAGTCTTACATCCAAGTCTTTAACCAATGTTGATTTTTGTATATGAAATTAAGGGATGATCCAGTTTCATTCTTTTACATGAAGCTGTCCAATTTTCCATCACCATTTGTTAAAGATATTTCCCTTCCTTTATTATATGGTCATAGCTCCTTCATTAAAAATTTGATGTTAATAGATGTGTTGATTTATTTCAATTGATTCTGTTCAATTGATTCATGTATGCATTCTTATTTCAATACAAACTTTTAATTAATGTTGCTATATAATATAGTTTAAAAGCAGGTAACATAATGCCTCTATTTTTCTTTTTTCTCCAGATTAGCTAAATTACACCATTGTGATGCCATATACATTATTTTTTTGTTCTGTTTTCTTGAAATATCAAATTTTTATATTGAATTTGTATATTGTTTTTGTTAAGATGGTCATTTTGACTATAATTAATTCTCCCCATTAATGAAAATGAGATATCTTATCATCTCTTTATGACTTTGTTTACATCCTTTTTTAGGTACCATAACGTCTACTCATAGTATTGCCATTCTCCTGTATTTATTATACACTCAAATTTTGTTTATGGTGTTTTTCATACTTTTATTAAAGCATAAAATCATTCTCATATAATTTCACAGATCTTTAAAGTCAATATCATAAGTCTCAATGGGTATGTTTTGGGGATCTTATTCTTTTAATATTGTGTAAATTTATATTTTTGATTAAAAAAATTTTCCTAGCACCATCCTTTTTTATTTCCTTGACCTTTCTCTCCCCCCTAACAAACCCCCAAATCTCAGATATCTCACTTTATTAGTGTCCACCAGTTTTTATAAGTATTTTTATTTTGTTGAATCATGTACAATGTAAATGTCCAATATTTGTCTCTGTCATTCTGATTTGTGTTGCTATACATAATTCCCTAGAACTTCTCTGTTTTGTTATAATAGTAACATTTCATCTTTATCTCTATAAACCACATCTTCTTGTAATACTTAGCTATAGTAAAAAACGTTGCAATAAATATTGTAGAGCATAATGTTTTTGAGTTGATGGTTTTATGTTCTTTGGGTAGATGCCCTTATTGTCTTTTGACTGGTAATTTTCATCATATAGGTATTTTTCCTCCCTTATTAAATTTATTCCTAGGCATCTAGTTATTTTTTATGTTTTTGTAAATGGGATTATTTTCTCAATTTATTTTTCTTCTCACTTATTTGCATTTGGTGCACAACAGATTTTCATATGTCAATTTTGCAGACAGCCATTTTACATACTCATGTACTTTATTAGTTTTATTTTTTGAAGTTGTATTTTTTTATTTATGCATGCAGAACTGGGTACAGGCCAGAGGTGCAGGGTTGGTGAGAGGATTCACCAGAGATAGAGTGGGGAGCAGAAAGCAGACTGACAAAAGTACACTGCTGAGGGGAACAGCAGGTGAAGCAGGAGTGAAGGGGAGCAGAGAGGACAAGAGAGGTCTGCTGCGTCACTGTCTAAAACTAGAACATACCTATTGGTATTATTTGGTAAATTACTTAGAAACATCTAAAATATTCCATTAAGTTAATGACAGTAGTGTTCCTAAATACCTAAAACAACACCAAAACATTACAAACAGGCCACCTTACTTTCTGATGGCAGATATTTCATATATTCTGTATAAGAATATTAAGAACAGCATTGTTGAAAATTATGTAAAAGTGGGAAAAATCGGCCCTCCCTGGTGGCGCAGCGGGTTAAAGCACTGCACTGAGAAACTAAAGCCACTTCCGCATGAGTTCGATCCCCCGCCTGCCCCGGAGGTGACCACATGGCGTGGCAGACCTCTCCTGACCTGCCCGCTGCTCCCCTCAGCAGTGTACTTCGTGGATCTGCCTGTTCTGTTTCCCACTCTGTCTCTGGCCTGTACCCCAGTTCTGTACGAATAAATAAATAAATCTTTAAAAAAAAAAAGTGGGAAAAATCTGTTACTCAGAGGGAGAAGAGATAAATGAACAGTATCTCATTTTCAAAGTGGAATTCTGTAGCTGAGTTAAAAAGAATGAACTATATCTATACTTACCAAAGTGGAAAAAGTTAAGTAGAAAAAAATTACCAATGAATATGTACACTATACAATTGATATGCCTCCAATATCACCAAAAATATATTGAGAGATAATTTGTGGATACATACATTTGTAGTAAAGTAAATGAGAAGCACATACTGACTTAGAAACACAGACTAGTGAAGCTTCCTACCTCTGAAAAGGGGTGGGGGGAATAACAGAAAAAGACTTGGACTTAGCTGTATATGTCTTGTTTTTTTAAGAAAAAGAATGTAGCAAATAGCAAACTAACTTTTAATATAGATATAATATTTTAATGTGTTTGAAGATTTTCTAATGTATTTTTTTAAATTATGATAATATTTTTGAGTAGCAAAAAAATCCTCATCATGCTCAATAAAATATTTGGCAATATTAATGAAATTTAATTAAATTTTAAGTTCAATTATGGTGCAATCAAGCAATTGTTCCAGAACCCAAAAGGAGAAAGTGGTATTTGAAAAATATAATAATGCCACCTGCAGGAAAAGAGCTAGAATTTTTTCTGAGAAGACAGAGATAAAAGGGACCTGCCCTGGTGGCACAGCACTGTGAAACTATCCTCAGCCACTACAGTACAAGTTCCATCCCGGGCCAGGGAGGTGACACACATGGCACAGCAGACCTCTCCTGTCCCGCCTGCTGCTCTCCTCAGCAGCATTTCAGTCAGTCTACTTGTTCTGTTCCTCACTCTGTCTCTAGTGAATCCTCTTACCACTCCTGCACCTCTGGCCTGTACCCCAGTTCTGTATGCATAGATAAATAAATGTTAAAAAAAAAAAGATAGAGATAAAATATGTAGTAGGTTTGCAGAATTATAAAATAACTACCATTGGGCTGGGAACATTTTGTTTAACAGTTCCATGCACATCTAGAACTGAAGCCAGTCCTCATAGTATCTTGTTAGCTTGGTGTGGGGGGGTTGAATAACAAAAACAGATTAGTCTTGTTAGTACCAAGATTATGGGAGAATTGCTAACTAAGTTACATGTTAAAATTAAATTAAGACTTTAAGGATAACCAAAGGTTTTGAATAACTTGTATAACAAAAATTATTCCAATTTTATTTTTCCCTCACCATTATCCCTTTGTCCCTCCACTCATACTCAGAAACCTCATTGAATTTATTACTGTTCTCTAGTTTTTGTATTTTACTTTGTCAAATTGTCTATCATTGTAAAAGTTTCATCTTACCTAAAGCAGTGCTCAAAAAAACATAAATATTCAGGCAAGTAAAATGATGGGTAAAGCAATTTGAGTTTAAGAAAAAATTAAAAACCCTGGAAAACACATTTCCTGTCTATAAATTTCCAGTTCTTAGATGCATGGGTTAGAATTGCCAAGCCACTGGTTTTTGAAGAAAAGCCAAAAATCTTAACTATCAAGTTTCTCAAATTTAAGATGTAGCTCATTATTTTAAATATTCTTCAAAATACTGGCAAACTTAATAAAATACACTGTATTTTAGATCTACTTATTAAAAATAGATGTAATAAAGACAACAGATGTGGCTCATGAACTATCAGTTTCTTACCTTTGCCTAAATAATGTACTATTTTAATCTTACTAAGGGAAATTAAGATCTAGAAAAAGATCTAGAACCTTGTTCTTCTAAAACTAGTATTTTCTTCTTGTGATGCCTCAACTTCCTTAACAATGAAAATATACACCTAGGTTAGTCACACATGAAGTTAATAGTCACAATATGCTGTAATAAATTCAGGAAAGACAGCATAAGCTTCATATTCAGCTCTGGGTCTTCTGAAAGTTTTTTGGGTGTACTCCAGAAATTAAATTATGAATGACTAATATGCTAACTTATTTATAACTCACAAATTCTGCTTTAAATGTACAGGGCACATTTAAGATCTTTTTTTTTTTTTAAAGATTTATTTATTTATTCATACAGAACTGGGGCACAGGGCAGAGATGCGGAGGGTGGGAGGATTCACCAGGGACAGAGTGGGGAGCAGAACAGACAGATCCACGAGGTATACTGCTGAAGGGAGCAGTGGGCTCAGGAGAGGTCTGCTGCGCCATGTGGTCACCTCCGGGCAGGCGGGGATCGAACTCATGCGGAAGTGGCTTAAGCTTCTTAGTGCAGCCCTTTAACACGCTGCGCCACCAGGGAGGGCCCCATTTAAGATCTTTAAGCAAAGTTGTAACTTTAGTAAATAAATGTGAAATATTTTAAATAACATGACAATATTTTAAATATCTGGAGAAAAAGTTGTAAACATTGCCAGGCTGACAGAAAGTTGGACTTCAGTTATGAAGACTTTAGTGTCCGGAGAACATCATCCATTCTATCAACATATCTGGTGAATCTGCCAGAAAATATGAAGGTGTTACAGCAGTCCAGGAAGAAGGGACTAGAATAATTATCTTCTTTGACCTTGTTAACCATACTTTGAACTACTGTAATGCTAATTTTTTGAAAACCAAGTTCACTCGCTGACCTCAGAGACAAGAAAAAAGACTCAGTGAGCTCTAGACCTAGACCCATGCAGATCTGTAAACAGAGAAGGAAATACTCTTCCTCCTCTCTAAGGAGTTAATGTATTCAGTAAAGCAACTTTTCCCTATAAAGTTAGTCGCTGGTTGTGGCCTGATTTAAGCCACCTCAACTCATTTACAACTTTGTCACATTTTATTTGCCTTTTGGGGGTCGAATTAATTTGAACTTGAAAAACATCTGTGCAAAAAGGAGGCAAATCTCGCGGTTAGGAACAGCAGAATCAGTTCAGCACCTAAGTCCTCTGAATGTGGTTGCATTTTCACAAAATCGAATCCAATCCCAAAACACCAGGTTTGATTGTGCAACGTAAAAAAATCACAGCAAGACCAGAATGCGGCTTCCAAGTGTCACTGGGCCCGTAGAAACTTCTGCCTACGCTCAGGTGAAAGCAATGGGAAAAGGGACGGGGCCTGTATTTCTGATCGAAATGTTATTTATAGCCATGGCTGAGAGAAGTCAAAGCCGACTAAGCGCTGCAGCGGGATGTCACCGCCATGCAAGCAGGTTTCACACCTCTCACCTTCACAGTCGGCCCCAGGCCACACCTCTGCCTCCTGGCCCTGCACCGGCCCGGGGTGAGAGAGCCAAAGGCCGGCGCAAAAGACCACCACAGCGGCTGGGACAGAGCACCACATGCTGAGCCAACTGCTCCAAACACCTATACAAGCTTCGTCAACCTACTGCCGCGCGGGCTCTCGCCAGGGGCTGCTCCAGGACTCCGGAAAGTCAAGTCTGTGATTGGAAAATATCTGCCAGGAGTTGCTAGGGCAAATGACGCGAAAGCAATCCAGAATTTTCATTGGCTCGCAAGAAGAGGCCTACATTGGGCGGGGCCATTCGTCGTCTTTTCCCTACAGGCGCGTGCGCGCCTTTGCACACCGAGTGACTTTTTTTTTTTTTTGCACCCAGAGGGGCGGAGAGAAGCCCTAAATCTATTCGCCAACTTCTCGACCGGGAAGGCGGGACCTTCGCGCTAATTGGCGGCCACGCGGGAGGCCGCTGCGAATGGATCGGACTCAGTGGGCGGGCGCGAACGTGAATCTCCGCGGTGCCTGATGGGGCTGTTCCGAGGCCCGGAGCTGTTGCCGCTGGTGCACCACTCGTTACTGCTGCTGCCGCCTCTGCCGCCTCATGGCGGCTATCGGAGTTCACCTGGGCTGCACATCAGCCTGTGTGGCCGTCTATAAGGTGAGGACTTTATGGGAACTGGACTACGGGCTAATGTCGGCCACCCTGTTCTCTGGGTGCGGGGTCAGTTTATTTAACGGGGTTTTGAGAGTGTGTGGTCGGCCTAGGAACGTCTCTCAGGAAGGCGTTACACCGGGGAAGCTTCCAGGCGTGGGACCGAGCGGACTGACCCAGGCAGTGACGACGCAGGCGCGCGGGGCCCCGGGAAAGTTAAGGCCACCGGAGGCCCGGAGGGGGGCAGTCTCGGGAACGCCTGGGTCCTGAGAGGCCCTGCGCATCTCTGGGATGTGGAAGGGCGCCGGAGCTCGGAGAGGTGCTCTCCCGGGGGCGTCGTGGCTGCTGGAGTCCCGAAGGGTCTCCGGTACGTGATGGACTAGGGAGACTGGCGCGGGGCGGATCCCGAGGCGTCGTGACTGCAGTGTGTTGGGAGGGGGCCCGAACGTCTGGGACCCGGAGATGTCGGGACGTCTGCCGGGAAGGGGAGGACTGGCCGCTGTCTGGAACCCAAGCTGTTGATTCCGCGAAATGAGTTCACGTTGTGAGCTTGCACTGTACTGACTCGGCCTTCTGAAAATGAGATCTTGACAAGGCGTTGTGGAGAGGTGGAAGTGATAAATCCCCTGCTCCCAATCTCACCTTTGACTGTCAAGTGATTGTTAAGGAAAGGCCGAAAAGACTATTTAATTTGAAGAAAAGGTTAGAAAGTTTTAGTAGTAAAAGAAGGAAGGCGATGTAATTTTAAAAAAAAGACAACCCATATTATTGTATCTATATTATAGATTGTTGCTAAGCTTAATCCATTTATTGTCTGCGGAGAAGACCAGAAATGGGCCTTTCTTCGTGAAATGTAGGCTTTCTGTAAAAGTCTAGAAAATTAACAATGCCGATTAAAGCTGCTAGTTAAAAACACTGATATAGTAATGCTTCTTTCCACTTATTTGGAAAATAACGCCAGATTGCATACCTCTGAATGTGGCTAATGCGACTATATATTTCATTTCAAAAGGACTAATATGGTATATTTTTCTCTAGGATGGCCGGGCTGATGTGGTTGCAAATGATGCAGGTGACAGAGTTACTCCAGCTGTTGTTGCTTACTCCGAAAATGAAGAGGTACTAATTCTACTATTTTTGTATTTTGAAAAAAATTAAAATTGCATGCATTGTAATATGTTGCTCTTTTTCAGGTTGTCGGATTGGCAGCAAAACAAAGTAGAATAAGAAATATTTCAAATACAGTGATGAAAGTAAAGCAGATCCTTGGCAGAAGGTATGGAATAAAATATATTTTAATATAAAGTATAAAAAAATACTTCTATATATGGTAATAAAATTGCATAGGTCTAAGCATAAGGTGAAGTGAAACTAGAAACTGTTTTGTTGTATTAATGACTGAGTCATTTCAGAAAGTATTCCATCCAGTATACTTTTTCTTTGGATTATTAGTGTTGAATCTTCTTAAGAAAGGGGTTTACTCAGACAGTTCTTCATGCTAACATTCTGTTAGTATTGATAAATACCAGCATTCATTTACTTTTGATAATCTGTCATTCAGAGGTAGTCATTTGAGCTTTCATGTTTTTATATTTCTTTGCACTGTAGTTGACTTTTACAAAATCTATTTTAATTGGCCCTAATTTATGTAGAAGCTACCAATTTTTTCAAGTCTTTTTTTGTGACACTTTCTGGGAACTAACTTTTCCAGTTGGCTTACAAATTTAATCATTAGAAGAACACCTTAATTAATGTCTTAGGTAAGAATCAGGTCAATCATCTGTTGTAACTTTAATTAAAAGATTAAAGAGGCTTCCTTGCCCAGACTTCTTCTGTCTCTTCAAATTATAGATTGCCATAGTAATTAAGGCTTTTCATTTTCACTAGCATAATAATACTTGATATAGTGTTTTTAAATTTTCAAAATGCTTTCATATCTACCATTTTATTTAATTCACTCAAATCCCTGCAAGATTGACAGGACAGGTCTGCCCCACCCCATGTGTTGATTGAAAAAATCAAGGCATCCAGAAGTTATAATTAGCTAGGGGTAAGCTAGAGAGGACTGCAGTTCAGGTCTTCTGATTCTTCTCTAGGTTCTTTCTACTTTGTTCACTTGTGCATTCGTTATTTATTTTATACTTGCAGATTTTTTTTATTAGCCCTTACCTGTGTTAGTTAAACTGAACTGAGTAATCATTTTTTTCCCTTGTGGTATCTATGTACTAAACCAAACACTACTATTCTTAGAAGAAATTCAAATTTTTGTGGTGATTAATATACTTCCATATCCATTACCTCTTAACAAAACTTAGTACTGGAGTTATTGAAAGTAAATTGGTGGGTTAAGTTCAGTTGGTGTTGAAAATTTTCAAATTGTAGACTCTAGAATAAAGTGGAGTTTTAGCTAGATATATTTACATAGATCTGAAAAACTGGAATTATTGTAAATGATCAACGGTATGCTTTTTAATTAGATTTTATATTTTAAGATGATTGTAACTTTACATTCTATTGTAAGAAATAATACAGGCAGGTCCATTATATTACCACTTTCTCTCACTGGTTGACATCTTTAAAACTATAGTATAACCAGGATATTGATTATGGTACAACCAACATATAAAAGATTTCCAAAGTATTTATCCCCTAGTACCCCTGTTTGTTTTATGCTACTATTTTGGGGCAGATGGTTGGGGTAATGATGTGTTTTTCTACCCTATTACACACAAAAAAAACTTTGTATTAGCAGGAACAACTTAAGCTCACTTTTCTGGCCCTGAACTGGTATCTATTAATAAAGGAATACAATGGTGACTGCCAGATGGGTGACCTAGCCACCACATGCTGCTTAGGCTAGTAAAAGATGAACTCCTTTGAGACATAATGCTACACTGTGGTCCTGCTAGCACTTCTCCAGAGTGAGCTGTTCTGTGGTCCAGGTATTTCCTCCTATGATCTGTCTACTTATAAAGAAACATTTTTACAGATAATGCAGTTGTGCCAGGTCTCAGCTTTGGAAGCATTCTGCCCTTTGTGGAGGAGCCAGTACCCTTGTTACGAACCCAGTATGGCCCTCTGTAGCCCTTCATCCAGTATCCATACCGGGCCAACTTCCACAACGGGGCTTTCTCAGTTTTGACATCCTGCCTGTTTGTGACCTACTTACAGGTAGTACCACTTAACTTACTGCCACTAATATCCTTACACCCTCCCTGTAACTCTCATTCCCCTATGGCCTTCCAGCCAGAAATGCGGTCTTTGGACCTGGCTTCTCAGCAATTAGCCCTTTGGACCAGACTCCTCAACAATTAGCTCTCAGAGGGAAGAATCGGCTGGCTCCTGGAAATTCACAGAGCTTCCCCACACCTTGAGATTTGCACCTTGCTGCCCAGGAGCTTCCTTCAGCTAGCCTTCCCTCCCAGTCCACTATGGCCAGTTCCAATAGCAGTGCGGGCATCCGGTGGTCCAGACAGGAGACACGAACTCTTCTCTCCATATTAGGCGAGGCAGAGTATATTCAACGCCTCCAGACGGTGCATCATAATGCAGATGTTTATCAGGCTGTGTCCAAACGAATGCAGCAGGAAGGTTTTCGCCGCACCGAACGTCAGTGCCGTTCCAAGTTTAAAGTTCTGAAGGCATTATACTTAAAGGCATATGTTGCCCATGCTACAAGTATGAGTGATCCTCCACACTGTCCGTTTTATGATACTTTGGATCAGCTTCTCCGAAATCAGATAGTGACTGACCCAGAAAACTTAATGGAGGATGCTGCTTGGGCCAAGCACTGTGATCAAAATTTAGTGGCCTCTGACACCTCAGGGGAAGAGGGAATCAGCATTCTCAGAGCAAAAAGGACTCAGGCAGCAGATCATCAGCCTATCTTGAAAACAGTTAAGGAATCAGATGAGGATTGTCAACTGAGAATCAGTGACCAGATGCAAGAAACCAGTGACCTTGATGACTCCTGGGATGAATCCTCGGGTGCAGGTAACTTCTAAGTATGTGAAGGATTGGGGTCCCAGAGTCACTTGGTTCTAAATTGCAGTCTGTGTTTGGATGGTATTTGGTCAGGATAGCCCTTGTTTCTGCTACCTTTCTCCCACTTCTTTTTTTAAACTAATGGTAAAATAAAGGACTCTGGGTTTTTCAAAGCTATTACCCTAAGTATGTAAGTTATTAGAACTCTTTTAACCTAGAAGTACTCATTAGTACCATGCAAATTTAGCCATTATTAATAATGAGTACTTAGGAATTTGTGAATATAGCATGGGTTGAATACTATGTGGAAAGGGGTTCAGGAGAAGACGGGGTTGGGGAGGATTGAGAGATAAGAATGTAACAGATCAGAATATTTAGATTAAGGAAATAAAGTCTTCCCAACCCTTTGTAGAAAAAGGCCTTTCCAAGAACTACCATAGTTTTGTAGTTGTCTTTCAATTCTGCTGCTGGCTCTAAACATTCCCTTAGCAGGAATGTCCTCTGTGCAACATTGTTGCTTTGTTTTTCAGGGTGCTCTCAAGGGACCCCCAGCTACAGCAGATCCCACCACCTTTACAGAGGTACAATTGCTCCCTGTCAGAGCAGCCCCATGACCAGACTGGCTGTGTCCGGTGAGCCCAGTCCCTGCACCAGCACGAGCCGAAACACTCCTGGGGTGGCCTCCCCACAGCGGCCTCCAGTCTCCTCCTCCAGAGTTCCTTTTGTTTCTGGTGGGGATAGGCCTTTGACCAGTGAGCCCCCTCCAAAGTGGGCAAGGCGAAGAAGGCGGTCAGTGGCCAGGACTATTGCTGCTGAGTTGGCAGAAAACAGGAGATTGGCACGAGAACTTTCAAAGCGTGAGGAAGAAAAATTGGACAGGCTGATTGCTATTGGTGAGGAGGCCAGTGCTCAGCAAGACACTGCCAACGAGCTCCGCAGGGATGCTGTGATTGCAGTCAGACGCTTGGCAACAGCCGTGGAAGAAGCCACCGGTGCTTTTCAGCTAGGGCTTGAAAAATTGCTGCAGAGGTTAATTTCTAATACCAAAAGTTAGGAACTGATTACAAAAGAGTATACTTCCTAAAACTGGTAGTAACACAGTTTCATTGCCTTCTGGTACCCTGACTCCTTTTCCATGTCCTCAGAAAAAATGGATGCACCATTAATATGCCATAGTAATATATATACTTTTCCAAGCTAAGTGAAAGAACTTTCAAAAATGTGAGAGGTGGCCCAGTAGAAAATTGATGGAACCAAGTCCAGAGAGCTCATTAAACATGGCTTTGTCAGTGTAGTTTACCTCTCTACCAGTTTCCTCATCTGTAAAATGGGGGCTAAGTAATAACTCCTGACCTGCCTACCTCACAGGGTTGTTGTGAGGATCAAAAGGCTTATAGATGTGAAAGGGTTTAAAAGCACTATACACTTGTAAGTTATTAATGCATATGACCTGGCCAAGGGAAGGCTAGGTTAAGGCACATTAGTTGACAAGATGTAGAAGTAGTCTGTATGCCATTACTTCATTGCTTGAATCCTTGGATTTTGAGATCTTTATTTTAGAAATCCCTCAATAGCTCATTAGACTAATTTAGATACAATATGTATTTGTACCTTTATCTCTTGGATTTTCACTGCTGTGTCTGACATATTTGCTAGTAAAAACCTTAACAGCCAAACCATTTCCCCCTCCATTTTACTAGCTCTTAGTATCTTGTCACTATAAGGATATAATTAAGAACTGACAGGGAACCATAACTGTATGTTGTGGTTCATATTGAGAGTCTTTGATACTGGCTGTTTTATAAAATAATAAATGTAAGTAAATTCTTTGCATTCCATATAATGTGGGTTCCTTTACATGCATTATGTATCTAAGTCTTGGTTTCCATTCGAACATCATGGAAACACTTTAGGTATCAGTTGGGAAATAAGCTTTTAGTTAATTTCATGCTTTTCTGTTAGCATTTTTTTTTCTTTCAAATATATTACATAAATCAAGTCCTAGGGAACTTTCCAAAGATACTTTTCAAGTGGTATAGACATAAGTTGATTTTATGTCAACTAAAAAATGGTAGTTGAGGATGTTGTGTGTAAAGACTACCTGTAATAACTCCTAACCAGCTCACAACATATACCTTTTAACCTTAAACACACTTCCTTTGGGAGATAATGAAGGTATTGAGCCATACTTCCGATTTACTTACTGTAGAAGTAAAACCATTATTGATCATCATTAAAGATTTTAGTGGTTCACTTAGTACTTTCGAAAATATGGTTAGAACTCTTGGAATTTAAAAGTTTCCTTTAGTCTAGAGTTTAGGGGGAAAACAGCTTGGGAGAGATTTTGTTTTACATGTGGACCTGAGTCCTTTCCTAAATACTGGAGCTACAAATAGTGGAGAAATAGTCAAAATAGCATATTTTGAAACCATAAGTAGATGGTAAGTAAGCAACTGATGAATGAGGGGGTGAGTCAGCTAGTGAGGTAAGAATACAATGGAATCTATCTAGAACTTCTGGGTTCTAATCCTGTCACAGTTTGTCACATTGGGCAGGCAAACATTTGCCCTTTTTGTGCCTCATTATCTCTAAAATGAGGGATTTGTCTCTAAAATGAGGGATTTGTAATACATGAGCTTTCTAGTACCTTTCAGTTCTAAAAAATTCTATGATAAGTAGCCTAACAAATGACAAAATAAAAATGAAATTTTAATTGAAATATGTTCCTTACAACTGCATATTAGTGTACATTTGAAATGTTGGTAGCAATTATATAGGGACATATTCTGTGGTGTAATTAATATACTCATGGACTTCTGAGTATCACATCAAATAGTATATTCCTTCCTTGAAAGGAACATGTTAAGGTATTGAAATAGTACATACATATTTTCTCAATTATTAGACCACTATATGGAAGGATATGTGCAATTATAACTGGATCACACTAATAGAGATAGGCTAGACTTTCTGGAAAAGCAAGAAAGTACTTGGAGAGTTAGGCCTGTACTTTGTTAATCTATTAATGTAGCAAAGTGTATAAGCAAGGAACTACTTGAGATAAAAAGTGGTAAAGTATAAAAGTGGAATTAAACTTTGGAAGCAATAGTGTGAAAATCTAGTGGATTAAGTAAGCTTGATGTAGGACAAAACCTAAAGGGAAAGACGTGGAAGGAAGAAACAGACAAATTGGTTGAAATGTTAAGAGATGGGAAATTGTAATAAAAGGAGATTGTTTGGAACACCAACCTAGAAATCCTTCCTCAGCTCTTAGCTTCACCAATACTATCTCCATCTTTAGCAAGGTCATTTCACCATTCTGCAACTCAGGTTCCTAGAAAATGGAAACTAATAACTGTCCTACTTACCTCACAGGAATGCTGTGAGGCCAAAACCAATGAATAAAAATACTTTGAAGAGTAGAATGCACTATCTTGTGACCATAGAAAAGAATATCTTATAGCACATTAGTTAGCCTGTGTGCACCCTGATTGTGGCCTGCCAACTGCAAAATTCACTTAACAGTGGAGGAAGAAGAGCAATGACCTTGCTGGGAAAGGTGGTGAGGGAAAGGTGGTAGGATGTATACGCTGCCTCCTAAAGACAGTCATGTAAATGAGGTGCTGTGTATATCACCCACCACTCTGTTTTTCTGTTAAGTAATGGATCCTGGTATGGACAAATAAAGCTTTTACTTGTATGTAGTTGTGGGTCAGTCCCCTGTTTTCTGGCGTTATCCGTGATCATTTCTCAACATCATTCTCTGCTTTCTGCTTCTCTGCTAACTAATCTTCAGTGTCTTGCATATATATGACCCTGAAAGCTACATGTTTTTCTTTCCTCATTGAGAAAGTTCCTCTTTACATGACAATGGAGAAATAATTTTCCATATCTAAGAGTTCTGTTAATCCCATAAAATATCCTTCCCTGAGAATTATTTTGAATGATAGATGACCTATGGATAATAGGATAAATTATCCTGGTTGACTTAAATTCTGTTCTCAACAAACACCATGCTGAAATTGTAGTATTAGTGTAAAAATTTATTATTATATTCATCTTTGTTTCAACCCTTAAAATAATTGTCCAGGGTATTAAATACTAGATTTAGAAAAAGAAACTGGGTTTAGTGGATAGGATATTGAAAGACCTGAGTACCAGCAACTTTGTGATTGTTAGTCATGTGACTTTAGACAAACTAAATTACCTGTTTCCTATCAATTTTTAAGTGCTAATTGCTAGTATTCCAGACAGTTTTAAGCTGAATTAATCCATTTAACCCCCTTTTGTCTTCCTCTTATTCATACAGGATATAGTCGCATATATTTAGTAATCCTTCAATAATTAGCCTATAATTTTCACCTCTTGTTAAACATTTAAGACATTTCTAAACAGAATTGCCACAACTCCCTTAGAAAAGGGTTTAATAGAAAAGTCTAATTCATCTTAATTGCTGGATGAAATTGAATCAAGGACTCCTGTTTCTGTTCAAGATGCAGAAGTACTTTAGAAGTACTTAGTGCCAGGCAGTAACAGTGGTACAGTATCAAATACTAGCCTAGTAGAGATGACTTGGAGTCAAGCAGTGTCACTGCCCCTTATTAGCTTGTAAGTTATTTTCTCCCAATAAACCTGTTAATCCTAAATTAATACTTACCAAACTAAATAACCCCACTTAGACATTGTGAAGACCAAGTGAGGTAATAAATGTGAAAACATTTTGTATTTTGCATAAATTGGTGTTACTATTTTGAGCACACTGCTCATTTTAATTGTTTCATTGCCATGAATAATTAGTGTCTACTTTGTATGGGACATTATAGATATATATACTATAGTGTTCTACCTTTCTGTATGTAACATTCATACTTTTCCTCATTGTTTTGGGTCTGAGTGTTGATTCATGTGAAACCAAGCAACAAGTGTGGTGTTAGGCACTCTGGTTTGCCCTTACTTTGCAGTCTTACATCCTTTTTGTCCTTTTCCTCTCAGTGGTTGGGGCTTCAGAATCAGATGTGAAAGTGTATGGCATAAACGTTGATATTATGAAAAAGCACCCCCCCCAAATGTATAACATCTGTTAATAGCAGCACGATCAGAACAAGTAAGAGCTATTTATTGTGAAATGCAAAGATTAACAAAAAGAGAATTGCTATAACCTTTGCAAATGCTCTACTTAGTTCTGTTATCTGATATTTGAAGCTTTTTTTTTAAATAATAAGCAATTTAAAATCCATTTTCATATTTTTTTTGCTGGTATTGAAAAATCCAGTCTTAAAACTTTACATATTAAAAATGCTAATTTTAATACTTAACTGTTTTGTCTTTATTGGGCAGCTCTGATGATCCACAAGCTCAGAAATACATCACCGAAAGTAAATGTTTAGTGAGTATAATTCTTCTATTACTTCCCTGTTATACAGAGTAGCTGGTGAGGTCATGATCTCTAATATTGGTTTGGAACTTTGAGTTTTTGCTTAAATTATTTCTTGTTTTTTTTTTTTTTAAGATTCGTTTATTTGTGCATACAGAACTGGGGTATAGGCCAGAGGTGCAGGTGTGGTGAGAGGTTTCACCAAAGACAGAGTGGGGAGCAGAACAGGCCAGATGGTTGAAGTACACTGCTGAGGGGAGCAGTGGGCGGTTCAGGAGAGGTCTGCCTCACCATATGGATCACCTCCAGGGCAGGCGGGAATTGAACTCATGCTGAGGTGGCTTTAGCTTCTTAGTGCAGTGCTTTAACCTGCTGCACCACCAGGGAGGGCCCTATTTCTTGTTTAACACATTCATAATTTCTTTATAGGTCATTGCAAAAAATGGGAAATTACGATATGAAATAGATACTGGAGAAGAAACAAAATTTGTTAGTCCAGAAGATGTTGCCCGACTGATATTTAGCAAAATGAAAGGTATTGAACAAAAAGATCTTCTAAAAGTTCACCTTCAAAAAGAGGTATTTGTTGATTTGAGCAGGTTAGCAGGAATGAGATCTAAAACCTGACTGGGCCTCCCCTTGGCCATGTGACCTTGGTTAAATGACTTACCTTCTCTGACTTTGGTCTCCCTAGAAGCAATGTAAATAGATTGGGCCAGGTTAGCATATTGAAAGGTTCTTAAAGTTGTCATGCTTGGTGAATAGTGAGTATTATACTTCTCTCTCCAAGAGTGACATTACACTCCCAATAGTTATTAGGTAAAGCTGACTAACTTTCTGTGGAACAATTTGGGAAATTGTGAAGTAGATTATTTTAAATCTTACTGTAGTTCTGGAATTATAAATTTGCAGGATGGAAGGCAGCCCTTTAATGTGTAGAACTAGCATGCTGTTTTGTCTTCACATTGATGCATTAGAAATTTATTCTTTATGAAACAAAGCTAAATTGAGAAATGGTAGAAACTTTGGAGAACCAGGCCTTTTGAATTGTGCCTACTTCCCTGTCTACAAATGATATCCAGAACCACAATAGGTAGTATATGATTTAAAAGACCAAGCAAAGAAAACAGTAGCGGTGGGAGAAGGGGCAATCAAGTGAATTGAAGAATCTTGATAGTGAGAACAATTCTGGCACAAATTAATAAACCGCAGAAAGTCATGAAATATTTCTGTATTAGAATTTATTTATATATTATATGTATTTTCTATACACAGAAACAGCACATTCTGTCTTGGGCTCCGATGCAAATGATGTTGTTATTACTGTTCCATTTGATTTTGGGGAAAAGCAAAAAAATGCTCTTGGGTAAGTATGATAAGGGCTTTGTACTTTGCTTAGTTATAGGAAATACAAATTTCACTATCACTATAGTAAGAGATCAAATTGCATCTGAAAATATACAGTAAAATTATATTTGTAAATTGATGTGTATGCTATAAAAAGCATGGTGTAATGATCATTAATATTTTCTGTCTTTTATGAAATGCCAAAAGAACAAAATAGTTGGTGTAGTTTTATAGCTCTTTTGATTAGAAATGTCTTTAATTAGCAGGCTAAGATGATATTTATGGATCACTTTGTCCTAGTTTTATATAATTAATATTTATGTGGGAATTATATAAAAATATACATGTGAGAAAATATTTGCAATTATTTTTTTCTCCTTCGATATAAACATCTAAAAAGTTGTGCTTAGTTTTTACATACTATTAGGTGAACTCTATTGGTGAACATACATACTTTTGCATACAGAGTTTTCTGTGGGACTTTAGGAAACATCTAAATTACTTCTAGGGCAGAGGGTTACTTTATACATTTGAACTTATAGAATGTCAAAGACTGATCTATATAAAGAAATTGGAAAATTTTAAAAGGTTTTATAGACTTGCATTACTCTCTAAATGTGTAAATGTGGACTCTTTGAGAGCTCTCTTTTCCTTAGTCAATATAATCACATTTTTTCTTTGTCAAAAAAACAGACATTATTTTAGACAGAAAATGATCTACTTGTATTCTTCTATTTCTATTTTGTATTTCTATTTGTATTTTATTATCTTGGTTCTAAAGATCACTAACCTTCATGTTTTACTTGTGAAGTCTTACGTGCTATTGATTAAAATCTTTAGCAGAGCGTTTCTAAAAATACAGATTTGAAATTGTTGTGATGATAAATTCATGAAAAGCAAATTGTCTACAGGGAAGCTGCCAGAGCTGCTGGATTTAATGTTTTGCGGCTAATCCATGAACCATCTGCAGCCCTTCTGGCATACGGAATTGGGCAAGACTCCCCCACTGGAAAAAGGTAAAAACCATGTTTGCAACTTCAAGTTCTTCACTGCAGAAAAAAATTTAGATTGTAGCAACTGTGTAAATAGGGATTGTTCTGTAATGCTACAGTTCCAAGCCTTTATGGATGAAAAACTCTTGTCTAGAGTTTTTAAATAGATGAGAAAGATGTCCTAGGAAAGAGAGAAAGGGCATAACAAAAGGAAGCGTGAGCTTTTCTGCCCTTTGTCACTCATATTTTTTTCTCTTTGGAGGAAGATTTGAAATTTTTATTCTGACTCAAAAGCACTGTTAATTTTACTGTCAATTCAAATTATTAAACACAGAAACAGTGAATGCTTTTATATGATTCGTCTTGGTAGGAGATGTGATAACATCTAACATGGGAATTTAGGACTTCTTTTGTATGAAATAGTATGACAACTCTTAATTTAGTCAGCATATTTGCCTTAATAGACCAGGCATATCATGAGACTATGGGGAAAATTAATTCAGACCTGACATCATGCAACTTTAGGGTAGTTAGTTTAGATATGTTAATTTTACATGATTATTTTATTTCTCTCCTTATATTTCACAGAACCTAATATGTGTGTATCACTAAGAAATTGTTTTTAAATTCACTAGATAAATGTAAGATTTCAGAAATTATGAATTTTGATACATAGGAAATTAGCTCCTAGTTTTGCAGAATGTGTTCTATATTTGCAGAATGTGTCATTGCAGTAATGACTTGAGAATACTAACACAAAGATTTTTCATTTTATTCTCTCATAATTTGGTGAGCTTTTTTCTTCTTTTAGCATAGGCAGTCTGAGTTGTAGGACAGAAATGTAGAGAGTGAAGATTTATCAGAGACAGTGCGGAGCAGAACCGGTGGATTTGCTGAAATGCACTGCTAAGGGGAGCAGTGGATGAGACAGAAGAGATCTGCTGAGCCATATGTGGGATAGTTCCCTGGCCAGTGAATGAACTTAGGCAGTAAGCGGTAATAGCACAGAGATTTAACCTCTATGCCACCAGGGAGGCCCACTTATAATTTATTATAGTCCAGAATCTATTTTGAAAAGTTAATATTCTGAACTCCATTTACTTAAAACAATAGTTTTACCAGCAAAATGAAGCAAAAAAGAACTTTGACTTAATTAGAAGATCTGATTTCTAGGGGCTTCCCTGGTGGCACAAGAGGTTAAATCACAGCACGATGAAGTTATCCATAGCCACTGCAGCATGAATTCGATCCCCAGCCTGGCAGCTACCTACATAGTGCAACAGATCTCTCCTGTCTCATCCATCACTCCTTTCAGTAGTATATTTCAGTCTATCTGCCTGTTCTGCTCCCCATTCTGTCTCGTGAAACCTCTCATCCTATTCCCCCCCACCTCTGGCCTGTACCCCCAAGATGTATGCATAAGTAAATAAATCTTTTTTAAAAAATGAGTTCTAGATTTGATTTATCACTGAGTCATGATTATGGACAACTTTGTTATTCATGCGAGAGACTTTTCAGTTTTTCATTTCTGATTTATAAGGTTTAAACTAAGTGACTTCTAATGTCCAACCAAGGATTTAAAATGTGATTCTTTCCTAACTTTATTCATGCTTTCTTTTAAGCAATATTTTGGTGTTTAAACTTGGAGGAACATCCTTATCTATCAGTGTCATAGAAGTTAACAGTGGAATATATAGAGTTCTTTCAACAAATACTGATGACAACATTGGAGGTACACATTTCACAGAAACCTTAGCACAGTATCTCGCTACTGAGTTTCAGAGGTGGGTATTAATGGGCTTGATGATCTGTCTTGATTGAATTTCTCTTCAAGTTTCTTTATTCCTGATTTATTTTAAAGTGTTTCAAAGACTCAGAGAAGGATCAGCAGTATATTTCAGTAGATCTGCCTGTTCTGCTCCCCACTCTGTCTCTGGTAAATCCTCTCACCCCCCACACCTTTGACCTGTACCCCAGTTCTTGTGTGCATAAATAAATAAATAAATCTTAAACCAAAAACAAAGACTTAGAGGAGGCTGTGTTTTTTCATTGCCTTGGGCTTGTCTCTAGAATTAAAATGACCTATCTAGGTAGATGAGGGAAAGCAGAAACCAAATTGCCCAGCAGTGTCCTTGGGTTTGTACTTAGTGTAAGAGACTACCAGAAATTGAACTTGGATCATTGTGAATTTGGTTCAGTGTTCTAATTTTCATGTTCTGCTTTTATGTCTAGGTAAAGAAGGCACTGAGAACTTACTAGCTTCTGAACTGTTTTAAAAGTTCAGATCCAATGGAAATTACATTTGTCACAGTCACCTTCCAGTGACTTAATGTTTTATATAGTGTACATTTAATCACTAATCTACTGATCAAAGGAATACTGTAGTATTGTGCTAGATATAACTCTAACCACTTTGATATTTGATATCAAAGTCAAATATATAAAGTTGTATTTTACACATTGCTAGTCTAAAAAAAATAAGGTAGCTTGAAAGAGTATTTTTTATCTTTGATAAAAAGTGTTTATTTAATAAATACATATACTTCTTTTTGTTATAAAGGTGCTCCAATTCAAGATGTAGGGCATTGTTAATTTTACTACAAGTCCAGTTATTAAACATCTTTAGAAACTGATCCATTGATTACTATTTACAGTGAGTTTTAAAATTAGCTATTTTGGAGATATTTTGTTCAATTTCTCTGAAGAAACTTTTTTTACACTGCTGGACAGTAATTCTATGCTATTAAGTAATGAGTGTGCTGTGATTACAAATGTGAGGTGTGAACCTTGACCCAGTTATATAAATCTTTGACCTTTTCTCACCTGCAAAAAGATGACTACTCTGTTTTCTTAAGATTGTCATCATAGAGTGCAGCAAGCAACTCAAATTTCTAAGTATATTAGTTACTCATTTTTCTTAAGGAGTTCCTTTTAATTGCAGAGAATTTTCTTAGGAAATTTTAGAGGGTTGGGAAAAAAAATACTAAGATCTGGTATTAATGTTGACTCATGAAATTAATATTATCCTAATAGGGATTCTCCACATTTCATTTATAATAAATTCTAAATGACCTAGTCATTTTAAACTTCAAAGATTTTATTTTTAATTTAGATCTTTCAAACATGATGTGAGAGGAAATGCACGAGCCATGATGAAATTGATGAACAGTGCTGACATTGCAAAGCATTCTTTGTCAACCTTAGGAAGTGCTAATTGTTTCCTCGACTCATTATATGAAGGTCAAGATTTTGACTGCAATGTGTCCAGGTAAAACTAATGTTCACAATGTCTTTAACAATGCCTGCTGCATTCATGTTTAGATATAATTCTCCCACATTGGGTGTTTTGTTGTTGTTCTTTTTGAGTTTTATTAGTGATCAATCAGTGGGAGAGCTTTCCTGTCTTTACTTCTGAGGTCAAATTTTTGCCACACCAAACTGTTCCCAAAGTAATTAAATTAGTTGTGATTACTTGCCATGTTAATTTTATAGCTACAAATAGCAGTGTGTGAAAAAGGCATCCTAGATCTTTTAAAGAAATGTGAGCAAAGATTTGAAGTAGGAAATTTTAAATTTCTCTTACAGAATTGATCTTATCCAGATAGCCCCTCATTCTAATAGCTTTGTTGCACACGTTTAGTGATTTCAAATTATTTTAAATATTTAAGTCTTTTAGGTAACCCAAAACATTGGTTATTAATGGGCTTGCATCTTTGCCCAGAATGTCTGAAGGGAAAACATTACCATATCATTTTGTGTTATGTATGCCAGCAATAATAACAACTGCCACTAGTTAAAATTATTTAAATTTCCTAACAATGAGTGACTTGGAAACAGAACAAAAAATTTTACCGTTGTACTTATATTATTTTTTGAACACTGACTCCAAATTTTCTCTTCATCTGACCTTTGTAGTTTAGCTTTAACTGTATTGTCCATTAACATAGCCACTAGCCACTTGTGTCTGTTTACATTTAAATTAGTTAGAAGTAAATAATATTAAGAATTTGATTTTTCAGTGGCACTCATCAAAGTTCAGGTGTTCAGTAGCCTCATGTTGCTAGTAGTTCACAGAAAGTTATCTTGGGCTTTAGAGAGAACAGTTTATAAACTAGGAGCTTAAAAAGGTGTTGAATTGAAATCTTGTATATGGACAGTTTTACAGCAAGACTCCACCGCCTGAATTTGATCTTAAATGTCTTCAGTGCGTTCCTAGATGAATAATTTAGCTTCCCTCTTCCCCCCAGGGTTTGTACTGCTAGGTATTAAACTTCCTGTTATGGTCATACACCTATTAGGAAAACTTGATTCATTAAGTTTTACAGCTTTTCACAAGAAAAAGATGTTTTGTTTAATTGTACTAAGCCTTTTCTCTGTGACTTTCTCTTCTTTGTGTATGTGTTTGCGTGTGTATATAGAGCAAGATTTGAGCTTCTCTGTTCTCCACTTTTTAATAAATGCATAGATGCAATCAGAGAACTCTTACAACAAAGTGGATTTTCAGCAGATGATATCAACAAGGTAATTAATATTTTAAATTTTTCTTGATTTAGGAGTGGTTTTAGATTTGGAATTTAGGAAATAGACCATTAGTACTAAAAGAATATTTTTATGAAGTTAGACATTTTCTGAGCTTGTGTTAATTAGGAAAATTTATTACATTTTGATTAATGGCTGTAGTGAACTTTTAGTTATGTATATTCGTTTTCCTAGCATTAATAGTTCCTTTCTGTATATATATTTTTTAAATATGTCAGCAATGACTGGTGAGTATTTGAATGTTTACTATGTGCCATCCCTATTTCTAACTATTTTACATGGACAAACTGGTTGAAAACTCAACAATGATACTGTGAAGCAGGTGCTGTTATTTATCCCCATTTTATAAGTGAGGCACTCAGGTACAGAGAAATAGGTAACTTCTTGGTGGTCATGCTGTTAGTGAGTAGCATAACCAGAACTTAACCTAGAGTAGTACACTCAGTTGCTTTTCTTTGCTTGTCTAAGAAAATATTTTGAGATTTCAGAAACACTCATTTTTTTTATGTCTCCCTTTTTCCTCAAATATTTTTATTCATTTAAATAAAAAATAAAAATAATTTATTTTAATTAGCAAAATAAAATAATTATTGTTATAAGAAATTCAGAAATTCCAAGTCAGTCAGTGTTGTTTTAGAATACGTTTACTATTCTAATTTGTATATATAATTTTGTATTGTATTTTCTTTGGGTAATATTAAAATCACTTCCTTTTCCCATGTTACTGCATAGTCTTTATAAGCACAATCTTAAAAAAATTCGTAATGCCCTATAAAACAAAAAGTGCCATGAATAATTTCATTGTTCTATTGAGGATGGTTCTTCCATGCCCTGGAATAATGATGCCCACCTTTGGTCACCAGCTTTTACCATATGTAGGATTATTTCTTAGGATAGATCCTATATTGAAATTGTTGGATCAAAGAGTATAAATACCTTAAAACTGTATTTCCTTCAGTTAATTTCTAAAAATTGAACTCACTGACCAAGATTATACATTTTGTTTTCCTGACAGTTTCATTTAAATGTTTTCCATTGAATAAAATTGGAAAAAAAATTTTTTGACTTTAAATTATTTAAGGATTACTTGTATTTTTGTTTTTTGGTATTTGGCAAATGTTTATTTCCTTGTGTGTAGATAGATATTTCATTTTTCTGCCCATGTAATTGTTTATCTTTTTAAAAATTACTTGTGCAACTATTTTATGTAATCAGAATATTACTGCTGTCTTATTTTGAGGCATGTCGTTTAATATTTAATTTTGGTTCTGTTAGGGTAGAGGCATTTTATAGACAGAAGTATCTTTTTGCTTAATAATTTAAATTGCTTGATCTGTTACTCCGATTTTTTTTTTCAGAGTTTCTGATTTCATTTACTCCATCTTTGTTCAGAAGGAATTTTTTTATCTGACAGATACTTGATACCTTTTTTTCCTTTTGTCTACAGTTGGAAAGTATATTTTAGCTACTTTGGTATACACTGTATGAAAGAAACTTTTGGGGGAGTTCTTTTTAATTTAGTTCAGTAAGTATTTTTTGAACAGCTACATGTGCTAGGTGTTTGGGGATAAGGAGGTGAATTATGCAAAATAAAATAACATAGTACACATAATATAGCAAGGGGATTGTAGGAAGTGAATGAGCTTGGAGACAGACCCACTTGAATGGGAAGGCTCATGGTGGTGTAGTTTGCTAGTCTAGGCAAATCATTTAATTTCCTAAGGCTTACTTGTCTTTCTTATTAGGGAGATGAATAAGACTTGCCTTCTAAGTAATTTTTTTTTAATGCATATATGAACTGGAGTCTTAATAGAGGTGGGGGTGTGGGGAAGGAATGAAAAGATTCACCAAACAGAATGGGGAACAGAACAGGCAGGTGTACTGAAATACACTGCTGAAGGGAGCGGCAGGTGAGACAGGAGAGGTGAACATGTAGATTATCTCCTTGGTTGGGGATCAAACTCAGGTAGCAATGTCTAGCAATAGTTTGAAAGTTCTTTCTTTAACCCCTGCACCACCAGAGAGGCCCTACCTTTTAAATTGTATAACTTACTCTGTAGTATTGCTATGTGGATTAGATGGTCAGTTACTGTAATTTTTCCCCCCTTCATTAATGGGTCTCTAAGCCCTAACTTTTAGGCCCCATAAATGAATCACTTCTCAATTGCTTGAATTAAAGTTGAACTCATCCTTAGGATTGCTGTGGATTCACTCCAGATACTCTTTTAACTGTAGGCACTTTAGTTTGTTGACTTTGCTACAGTAACAATGCCCATATCTTAGTGATTTTGTAAAGATTTTTTTTCACCTTTCATACATGTTGGAAGTTGGGTGTAGGTCCCCTGCTAAGACTATTTTCTTCATTTATTTCATTCAGAGAACCATGTTAGAGTAGTAACTGTTTGGGAAATGCAGTTCTCATGGTAGAGGGAAAGAGGGAGGGAACAAGAACATGCTTCAGTTTGGATTTGGTGTGCTTTAGTCTACTCACATTTCAGTTAGCCAGACCTGAAGATTCAGGCCAGACCTGACAATGGGACATGGAAATCTACTCCACCTACAGAGAGGGGTCGCAAAGTAAGAAGTATGGTAATGGGCGGGGATGTGTGGATCTTCTTAAGGGAAGAGGGAGGGAAAGAAGGCTTTAAGTGCACTAAAACATTTAATCCTCACAGTAGCACCAGAAGGTATACACTATTTCTATTTTCTGGTGAGGACATTGAAGATTTTGAAGAGGTTAAGTACTGTTTAAAGTCATAAGGCAGGTCTGTAGATGAGGGAGCTAGGACTGAAAGTCAGACAGTCTGCCTCAGTAACTCATATTTTAACTCTTACAAGCCATTGCTTTTCTCTAGAATTTGAAGTCTAGTCTTAGTTTTTTGTTTCATATAGTCCTCTGGGATTCATGAATGTAAGCCCCACTGGCTATTAGTTGGGCACCCATCCGTCACGTGACAGTTGGATAAGCTTATAAAGGAGAAATTTTTTTTTAAAAGATTTATTTATTCATATAGAACTGGGGTACAGGCCAGAGATGCGAAGAGTGAGAGGATTCACCAGAGACAGAGTGGAGAGCAGAACAGGCAGATGGACAAAGTACACTGCTGAGGGGAGCAGCGGGCGGGTCAGGAGAGGTCTGCCTCGCCATGTGGATCTCCTCCGGGGCAGGCGGGGATCAAACTCATGTGGAAGGGGCTTAAGCTTCTTGGTGCAGTGCTTTAACTTGCTGCACCACCAGGGAGGGCCCTTATAAAGGAGAAATTTCATATGAAGTTCTTCATTGATAACAGAGTCATTAAATGGTACTAAGAGCTTAAGATGAAGGTTTGTAAATTTTTGTTCCTTAATATTCTCAGTTGGTTCATTCATGAAAACAAGAATCTCTTCTCACAAATAGAGAATGTCATTATTTTGTCATTTCTGTAGAACATTATAATGTATTGATTGAAATGAATATTTGTGATTAAGACTTGTCATTTTACATGGTATGTATAATATAAAATAATGTTAAAGTAGGGCTCTTTCATTTTACCATTTTCTTGTGATAAAGATTATCAAGCACATTATATTCAATAGTGAGGAACAAAAGATTAAAAACAGAAAATTAATTTTATTTTCTAGGTTGTCCTTTGTGGAGGGTCTTCTCGAATTCCAAGGCTACAGCAGCTGATAAAAGATCTTTTCCCAGCTGTTGAGCTTCTAAATTCTATTCCTCCTGATGAAGTTATCCCTATTGGTGCTGCTATAGAAGCAGGAATTCTTATTGGGAAAGAAAGTCTTTCAGTTGAAGACTCTCTTAAGATAGAATGTTCAGCCAAAGACATTTTAGTTAAGGTATGTTGAGCTTTACTTCTTCATAAAATTAGTTCCAAATTTATTGTCATAAATATCATTATTTTAGAATAAAATTTTGTATACTAGTAAAAATAATTAAATTTATAATTTTACCTTTTAAAAAAAATTTTTTTTTATGCATACAGAACTGGGGTTTAAGCCAGAGGTGCAGGGGCAGCTAGAGAATTCACCAGAGACAGAGTGGGGAGCAGAACGGGCAGATTGAGGAAGTACACTGCTGAGGGGAGCATTGGGTGGGTCAGGAGAGGTTTGCCATGCCATATGGGTCACCTGCAGGGCCAGGGACCAAACTCATATTGCAGTGGCTGCAGCTAGCTTACAGAGCTATGCTCTAACCCTTTGTGCCACCAGGGAGGGCCCTTTACTCTCTTTTCTAAAGAGTAATTTATTTATGCATACAGGAACTGTGTTGGGGGTGGGAGTGGGCAAAAGGATTCACCAGATACAGAATAGAGAGCACAATAGGCACATCTACTGAAGTGCACTGCTGAGGTGAGATAGAGGTTTGCTGTGCCTTGTAGGTTAACTCCCTGACTGGGGAGCAAACTTACACTGCATTGACCGGCAATAGTTTGATGATGCTGAGCCTTAACCCCTGCATCACCAGGGAGACCCTATAATTTTACTCTTAATGACTTTCTTAGAGTCTTGTGTTTAGTACTTACCTAACATGTTAATTTCTCAATGCTAAGTAATTTTAATTCTAAATTTCTAGTAGGTATGTTTCAGGTTTTTTTTCTTTTAAAAAGTGGTTGGGATTAAATGTCATTTTCTTCTCTTGGTGTATGTATAGTTTGTAGATTATCAGCCAGGACTATCTATTGGATTTATAATCGTAAGTTTTTTTTTATAATTGTAAAGATAAGTATGCATGTTATTTTTCTTCTTTGTTAGGGAGTGGATGAATCAGGTGCCAACAGTTTCACAGTACTGTTTCCATCAGGGACTCCTTTGCCAGCTCGAAGACAACACACATTGCAGGCCCCTGGAAGTATATCCTCAGTTTGCCTTGAACTCTATGAGTCTGAGGGGGAAAACTCTGCAAAAGAGGAAAATAAGTTTGCGCAGGTAAATACATGGAATGAGACAGTGTGTTAGTCATGTGAAACTAGTTAGCTTTTCCTCCACAGGAGATATTACAAGTATTTGAGCTGTATTGAGGAAATTTAGCAAATAGGTAGGTGTGAGAATAACAAGAGGAGTTTCTATTTTCCAGAACTTTATACTGAATTTTTTTTATAAATAGCACAATGTATGAGCATAAATTACTTCAGTAAAAATAAATATAGATAACATAGAAAATGTGTAGAATCTCTAGCTTTATGTCTATTTATAATTCTAGCAACAGAATAATACAATCATATACATATATATATGTCTGGGCTCTACCTCACACTTAAAATTTTAGAATCTACTGAGTTAACTTAGTTAAAATTTTTAAACACTCTTCAAGATGATTCTGTTGTGTAGTACTGTAACTGTATAAAAGCTTTTTCGTATAAGAACTGTAGGCCAGAGGTGTATGTAGGGTTGAGTGGATTCACCAGAGACAGCATGGGGAGCTGAACAGGCGAATTTTATTGAAATACACTGCTAAGAGAAGCAGCTTTTCAGACAGGAGAGGTCTGCTGCACCATATGGGTTAGCTCTTGGCAGGGGCTGGAACTCAGGCCACAGTAGTGGTTGCCCTGAGACTAACCCTGAGGTCACTGGGAAGCCTAAACACTATTTGATGTACCAGACTTCTACACTTCTATGTATAGGAGTCAGTCTTACTGTTTCGTTAGCTGAACATTTGTTACCTTTACTCTTCATGCACTATTCTGAAACTGCAATTATTATCACGGTATCCTCCCTTACAGATGCCACAAAGAAGGGAATTAGTCACAAAACACTGAATTTAAAAAGGAAGAATTAGGGCCCTCTCTGGTGGCGCAGCAGGTTAAAGCACAGCACTAAGAAGCTAAAGCTACTTCAGCATGAGTTTGATCCCCACCCCGAGGTGACCCACATGGCACAGCAGACCTCTCCTGACCCGCCTGCTGCTCCCCTCAGCAGTGTACTTCATCAGTTGGCCTGTTCTGTTCCCCGCTCTGTCTCTGGTGAATCCTCTCACTGCCCCTGCACCTCTGGCCTGTACTCCAGTTCTGTATACATAAATAAATAAAAATTAAAAAAAAAAAAGGAACATTTAGAGATTCTAGCAGTTCTAATCTTCCATTTTTTTAATATGAGTAAACCAAGGTAGTTAGTATCTGCCCAAGGTCATAAAACTTAATATTAGCAAAATTTGAAGAGTCACTGCCTGGTTTGGTTCATTTGTATACCTTTCTTCAGGAAATGAAAGTATTTTGTAGTAAACTTGTTAGTATCTCTTACTAAAAATCCCAAAGATTTTTGCTGTACACTTTCCAAGTGTACTTAAAATACTTATATATATGTTTAGAAGATTTAACAAAAATTTCCATTTTACTGATAATGACCTAATTACCTAAAAGAATAATCTTTATTTTTTTGAGACAAATAGTACTTTATAGAAACAATCATTTTAGTCTAGGACATGATATTTAAAAAGAACAAATATATTAGTTGTCTTACATGCTCTCCTTCTAAAGAATGCATTTTTAAAAAGATTTATTTATTTATACACACAGAATTGCCATATAGGCCAGAGGTGTTGGGGGTGGGGATATGGTAAGAGGATTCACCAGGGACAGAATGGGGAGCAGAACAGGCAGACTGATGAGGTACATTGCTGAGGGGAGCAGGCAGGCCAGGAGAGGTCTGCCATGCCATGTGGGTCTCCTCCCTGGCCGAGGATCAAACTCTTTGTGCTGCAGTGGCTGCAATAGCTTCATAGTGTAACAGATACAGGTTTAATGGACTCCACCCCCACTCCAGATACTGGAACTACAAATCCCATCAATAACAATGAGAAGCATGCTGGGATGTGAGGGTGAAACTGAGCAGCTAGGTTGGGATAAAGCTGGTCATGTGGCCTCCAGGGGTCCCTGGTGGTTTGCAGCTGGTCATTTGGCTCTTGATCGGCTTTCAGCGTGCTGGTGGAATCCAAGTCAGCAGAACTGGTAGGGCACTCTAGTTAACTTGTATTTCTCTATTTCCCTGGGTTGTTCCTTTTCCTTCCACCTTGTAAGTAAACCCATTATTGAACCTTTTTGTGTGTATCCATGGTACAATTGAATCTTAAGTGCACAGGTGAGGACCAACAGACAGGCAACCCAGTTCACATTGGGGTGTCCTGTAAAAATAGTGCTGTTCTTTAACCCGTTGCACCACCAGCGATGGCCCAAGAACACATTTTTAGTTAAGAATACCTAACTCCAGGCCCTCCTTGGTGGTACAGGACGTTAAAGCACAGCACTGTGAAACTGTCCACAGCCACTGCAGCACAAGTTCAGTCCCCCAGCTAGGGAGGTGACCCACATGGTGTGACAGACTTCTCCTGACCTGCCCACTGTTGCCCTCAGCAGAGTACATCAGTTGATCTGCCTGATCTGTTCCCCACTGTGTCTAGTGAATCCTCTCACCCTCTTCCCCCATACCTCTGGCCTGTACCCCAGTTCTTATGTGCGTAAATAAGTAAATCTTTTTAAAAAAAGAATACCTAACTCCTACTTTCTAACTTTGTTTAAATGGTAGGAGAATTGAAAATTTCCCCAATTTATTTTATTTATTTATTTATTTTTAAAGATTTATTTATTTATTCACACAGAAATGGGATACAGGCCAGAGATGCGGAGGGTGATAGGATTCACCAGAGATAGAGCAGAGAGCAGAACAGGCAGATCCACGAAGTACACTGCTGAGGGGAGCAGCGGGTGGGTCAGGAGAGGTCTGCCTCACCATGTGGTCACCTCCGGGGCAGGCGGGGATTGAACTCATGCGGTAGTGGCTTTAGCTTCTTAGTGCTGTGCTTTAACCCACTGCACCACCAGGGAGGGCCCAAAAACTTCCCCAATTTAAATGGTTTTATTTTGTAATAGCAAGATTGAGTTTTGGAATATTTGATCATCAGTTCATTAATACGTTAAAATAATGAATTGTCTTTGTATTATTTTTGCATAAACAGGTCGTACTCCAGGATTTAGATAAAAAAGAAAATGGATTACGTGATATATTAGCTGTTCTTACTATGAAAAGGTATAAAAATTATACTACTTATGGTGTTAAGAATACTCACTAAGAGACTAAATTTTTTTATAAACTAATTATTTTATAATCAATCTGTAATGCATACTGATCCTTACTAATTAGTGGCATAATTTTTATCAGTTTCAAATTAATTTTTTAAGGCCTATTTAATATTATTTATCCATGAAAGGAATTAAGTTTTTTTCTCTACCATTATAGAAATTTCTCTGGGAAATAAATTACTAACTAAATCCAGCTATTATTATGATTTCCTTAACAATAGTTCATCATTCACACTGTGATTTGTAAGTAAATTATTCCTAAATTAACATAAACAACTCGTTTCATCAGCCATACTTAGGAAAAATAAAGAATTCATTAGGGTGGGTTTGTCTTGGCCTGCGCTTGAAAATGGCATGATGCACCCTGTACTTACATAGTCTTAAAGGTAAGATCAGTTTATCATCATGGGTTTTCAAGGAATACAAATTTTGCCTCAGTGGTCTAGGAGAAAACTTGCAAGGACCACCATATAATCATAGCGTATGATACAAAAAAAAAAAAAATGGTTTATTTTAATAATCTTTGGGAAAGCTAAAACCGTCTCTTAAGTACTCAGTCCTCAAATAATTCCTTGAGGACTTTATGTTTTATAAAATAAGCTTATGAATTGTTACTTTTTGTTTTTTTAGGGATGGATCTTTACATGTGACATGCACAGATCAAGAGACTGGAAAATGTGAAGCAATCACTATTGAGGTGGCATCTTAGTGTTTTAGAGAAACCATGAATTTTTTTAAACCAGAATATCAACATTATTTGGTTTTGTTTATAAGTGATGTTTATATTAAAATACTTTTTGAATGAACTTTATAATCTGTGTCTCTGTTAAGCTACAATACATTAGTAAGTGCTGGAACCTTTTTGTTTTTCATTCAAGATGAAATAGTAGGAAATATAAAGAACTTATTTTGTTATAAAACAATTTACAATTAAGTCAGATTGATTGAAAGAAATTTTAGTAGAAATTTGGCATTGTGTCTTATTTTTTGCTTCTGTGTCTTCATAAGAGAACATTTTAAAAGTCTTTGATAGTAGAACTAAAAAATTGGAGAACCATAAATATATAAAGATGACACTTTTGCTTTAAAAAAGTAATCTCATAAATTCAGCAATGGTGTTTGTAATGTGTATAATACATACATAGAAAAAGGTCTCAAAACCAAAGTCTGAAAAGTTTCTTTTGTGAAAAGAAATACTAGGGAAGGTACTTTTCCTTTTATAACTTTGTTTAGTTTGAGTTTTTCTTCTAACATGTTTCTTCTGCCATTAAAGTTTTTGTTTTTTTTTATTTTGAAGAGATGGCTAGCCACATTGTGTTCATCAGAGAACATTCACTAGTTTACAGAGATGTTAATGAAAACACTTACTCTAAATTGGAAAAAAAAAAAAAAACCCTGAAAACTAATCTGCACATGTTGGGGGGAAAGTTGAAAGGTAAGCAATGCACAACAGACTCTAGATTTTACAAAGAGGATTTTCCACTCACATCTCATTTTGGTTCCCAGCAGACCTAGGAAGACAAATGGTGGTAAGGTTTAAAAACTGCTTTTTTTTCTGTTCAGACTTTGCATATGTGCTTTATTAAACTTGTGTAGGTGGGAATAAGTAGCAATATCCTATTTCTAAAGATAAGAAACCAAACTTTCAATTTTTTCATTTTTCTGCATCAACAATTCCTGAATAGAGAATTCAGACATGATCATAAGTCTATAAGTCAGCAGCCTCAAAGGCATATCCTTTTGACTAGGGCTGAGTACTTCTTCAGATAGTTCCCAAAGTTATAAAAAGTTTTGAAATTAAATCAAGTACATGTATAAGCCATTAAATGTTTCTGGAAACTATCAAGTAAACTAGCTGAACTGCTAACGCTAAGTATTTCTAGTTATGCTTTGGAAAAGTACGTTAGGGTTTTATTTTGTAGTCATTTTTAGCTTTTTACCAGCACCATGCTTTAACCAGACATCCCCTGTTAGTTTTTTAAACTAATCACAAATTAATAACCTATGGCTAATGTGTCAGTTCTACCTCAAGCCTGTTTTTGTAAATAAAATTTTATTGGTTTGCTAGCCATGGTCAGTCATGCATGTATTGCTCATGGCTGATTTCAGCTACAATGAGTCAAGTAGTTGGAACAGAGACTGTGTGGCTGCTGAAATCTTCATAGTGCTGTGCTTTAACTCTTGTACCACCAGGGAGGCCCTCATCCTGTTTTACTGAAATAATCAAGATCTGTAAAACATAACACATTTTGAAGACTGTTTTTAAGGGTGTAGAAAGGAGGGGGAAAGACAACAGATACCTTCTTTAGGTAGGGTGGCCACGGAGGCTTCTGAATAATGACATTTAAGCTGACACTCAAGTGATAAGGTAGCCTATGAAAAAAGGAAGGAGCATGTCTTCTGAGCTAGGAAGTAATTTAGAGTTGTCTAAAATTATTTCCTTTCTTCAGTATAGTCTCCACAAGGACATAGTCATTTTCTTTCTTCTCCACATTTATATTTCCAACACCTCATACAGTGCCTGGCGCTGGAGATGTACAGTCTTCTGAATGAATAGAGAAGAGACCTGGAGAATGGTGAACAATGGAGAGTGACAAGGCTACACAAAGAAGCTTTATCAGCTATCGGAAGCTTTAATTCTAGGCCTATTGAGGAAGTGTTTAACTAAACAGAAGGACATGTGTGTGTAAAATGGATTGGAGGAGAGTAAAAGTGGAACTGAAAATACTTAGACTTCATGGCCTAAACTAAGAGAATAGTGAAGATGGAGAAAAGAGGCAGAATCAAGTTATATTTTGCACTTGCTAATGGAATTAATTTGGAGAAAGGAGTTATGAATCAAAACACCACCAAAATTTTCCTCTAGAGAACACATTGAGGATGTGGTGCCCTACAGTGGACGGGACGAGATACAAAGGCAAAAATTCAATAATACTACATGAGGATGTTCAGTTTGAGGTATTTGTGGGACACATAAATGGAAATTTGAACTAGGCAGTCTGGAATTCAGGGCAGAGATCACAGCTGGAGACAAAAGTTAGGAATCTCAAGCATTAAGGTATTTTTACATAGGTGGGAATTGAAGCATTCATTTCAGGGAGAGGGCAGGAGAGATGTATGGTAACCAAACCCTGAGGAAACTAGACATTTAGGCTGAAATAAGGAAAGGGAACTAAAAGGAAAATAGAAAGTTGCTAATGAAGTAGAAGAAAAACCTAGAAAGAAGTTAAGGATCAATGCTTTGGGTAGTTTCCTACGAATACAGAAGAGGTAGTAAATA